TTTATTGGACAAAGCTTGATTTAGAAATGTTGTGTACAAACTTTATCAAAAATAGCTTTTGCAGTGGTTGTTTGCTGATGATTTCTTGAAATGTTTTGTGAAACAGGGAGATGGAGTGAGGGTGTTCATGTACTCGAGCAACATTTGAAGTAAGACACTCGAGCTATTTATTGAATGTGCTGGATAGGTTCATCATATGGGGCTTCTCTTTTTCATATATAAAATCTTAATCCATCGTTAAATTATTTCCTTTTGTACAAATTGTTTCATATGGGGTTAATATAATGTGGCACTGCTCCCTCATTGCTTCTCTCATCATCAACATCATCAACATACCCAGTATATTCCCAACAGGTTGGGGATATAGGGGGTCAGTTGTACGCAGACCTTACCCTTGTAATTATACAAGGAGGCTGTTTCCATAGCAATCCAAGGTGCGTTGCGTCGTTTAATATATTTTTTTCTAGAAACTTCACTAATAGAAGAAGCACTAGAATTTAATTGAGTCATTTTGATATAGTCCATTATTAGCACTATGTCAGGAGAATTGTCAACAATGACTCTTCCAACTCCATATGCAATGGACAATATTTAAAAAGGGGTGCAACACGAGGACTTCCCAGGGGGTCACCCATCCTAGTACTACTCTCGCCCAAGCACGCTTAACTTCGGAGTTCTAATGAAATCCGGTGCATTAGTGCTAGTATGATCCCTCATTGCTTCTCTGGTTAAAAAAAAAAAAAAAATCGCGCCTTTACGACTTGTAGTTGTTCATATTTTGTCCTCTTACCATGTTTCGCCTTTATAGACATGGCCACGGGTTGGCCCGACCCGTGGACTGGCCCGCGCTAGCCGGTTTTTGAACCGGCCTATAACCCTTAAGGGTCGTTACGGGTCATGTTGTACCCACTTTTGACCCTCCGAGCCGGGTCGGGCCGATTCTGGGGCCGAGTTTTTGACGGGTGATGGTTATAATTTTATTTTTTTTGGCCACGTCAAGCCTTTGTACATTTCTTCTATTTATTTATTTATTTATTTTTATTTTTACTTTTTTATTCTTTTTATTTAATTTATTTTATTTTTATTTTTTATTTTTTTACATAGATTGGGATCTGGCTCAAATGTTGGCTCTTGAAGATTTAAACTAGTTTTGACTCGTCAAGAAATTTCTTGGAAAATTGTTGTTAGCCTTTTTATTCTATTCTATTATTCCATCCACATTAATTAAATTAATATATGAAAATACGCTATTGGAGATAGTTTTAAAGTTTAAACTTTGCGTAGAGATTTGAGATTTTGAATTTTCATGCCCACCAAATAGGTGTATTTTTCTTTGTTTTAGTCACAGAAGTTCTGTGATGAAAGAAATGTCATTCACGGGCATGAAGTCTTGTGAAAGTTTCACAGCAGTATCTATTTGAGAGTTTTACTAAATATTGGCATTGTGTGAAGAAATTAAGCATGTGAAATAAATATTGGTGTAATAAGAATGAAAAAACAAATAACAAAACAAGAATTGGGGAAGTGGTAAATCCATATGAATTATCATATAGTTTTAAAGATATGGTGCAAATTGATGCTATGTAATTTTTTTTTTTTAAAAAAAATCAATCATTTTTAATCAATTACTTCTTTTTAACTCCAATCTAATTCAATTGTAATTCAATTCTATTGTTTTCAATATTATCCATAGAATTGAATAATAATATAGCTTTTTTTTTTTTTATAAAAAAGTCACTATTTTTTAATTCACATAATTTTAACTAATAATCATTTCACATCATCTCCTAATTTTACATCAAATCAATTTTTATTATTTTGTTTCAAATATTATTTTAATATAAATTCAAAATTAACTTACAACGAACTATATCTCTTTCTTCAAAATTAACCATATCAAACCAAAAAAGTTCAAACAAAATCAAAATATTTTATATCCAAGCAATGTATACGTTTATCCTATTTCTTGTACAGGAAAACAAATGTTCAACACATAAAATTAAGAAAACCCTATCTTGAGGTAGTATGTCTAAACCAATGTTTTAAAAGCGCATTTTCGTGCGCAATAGCGCACTTTTGCCCGAAAACGCGTTGTACGGTGTAAAAATTTGCGTAGTTCCTAATATGCACACACTTTTTATGACGTGACACACTTTTTTCGCGATTTCGTCCTCTATTTAAGCAATAGCGCTTATTGCTCATGCTATTTGACCCTTATTTTTCAATTTTATAGGCACCAAAAAA